CTAGGACTGAAAATTTAAAATATATCAATTTCCTTTTAATTGTTTTTAGACTCAAAACAATTTCAACACAATCTCCATTAAATTCCTAACAAATTTTTTAGAATTTGACAAGCTGATTCAAAAAATGTATATGGAAAGGCAAAGAGCCAAGGAATGCTATAGCACTCCCAAAAAAATTGCACAAAGTGGGAGGGCTTGCTCCCCAACTTACCAGATAACAAGATTCAGTTTAAATCTGTAGTAATTACGAGATTGTGGTACGGGCAGACACATAAAAAGACACAAGGAAAAACTACAGAGCCCAGAAACAGACACACACATATATGGACTCTTGATATTTGAAAATAATAAATAGCTGTTCTTTTAAGCCACTAAATTTTGGAGTGATTTGTCACACAGCAATAGATAACTAATAAATTGCTGCTCACCAGTATTCCCAGATCCACTTTCCCTTTAGTACAGAGGAGGATTAACCTTCCCCACCTCCTTGAAGTTAGGCACACTACATGACTTCTTTTGCTTCTAAAACGTGAGTGGAAATCATTCATGTCACTTCCAAGGAGGCATTTAAAGTATTTCACGATTACCCATGCTTTCTCTTCCAATACTACACCAATGGGGAAAGTCCTCTATTCCAATAGTACAGCTACAGAATGACGGGCATTCCCTGAATTTACACCTTGGAGTTACTGAGAAGAGTTGCCTTAATCCATAGGAAACTTTGCACGCATTTTATTGCATTAAGTTAATGAGATTGGGGGAGTATTTGTTACCACAGCATAACCTAGCCTATCCTTACAGATACCAGGCTCCCATTTCACTAGTAATTAAAGAAACAAACAGTAATGAGATAACAATACACATCCACCAGCAGGGCGAAAATTAAAGGTTCTGATGGTACTAAATTTGGGCAATGTTGTAGAACAATGAAAGCAAGAATGGAAATTGGCAGAACCACACTAAAAAAGTGTGGCATTATCTAAGAAAGCTGTTATCTGCAAGCCCCTGTGACCTAGTAATGTCGCTAGTAGTTTCACACTGTGAAGAAACTCCTGCATCTGTGCATCAAGATACTTGGAGAACAAGACTCACGGGTGGTTTATTTACGGTCGTGAAAGAGGAAGGAAGGAACGAAGGAGGGAGGGAGGGAGGGAGGTGACCCAATCATCCATAATCAGAATCAGCAAACAATATATTATATTCATACAATGAAATATATCCAGTCATGAAAACAAACAGCCACTGTCAGTAACAGTATTTAATCAACAAATCAACAATTACTGAGCACCTCTTATAGGCTCGGCCCTATTTCAGGTACCAGGAATACAACAGTGAGCAAAACAGAAAACAATCTGGCCCCATAGAGTTTACATTCTGATAGAAATGAGACAGGGAGAAAAAACGAGCACGAAGAAGTGATAGAGTATTTTAAAAGGTGGTAAGTAGCATGCGGAAAGCCAGGGAAAGGACAGGGACAAGAGTGCACTGCAGGGTAGATGTGCATTTCCAACACGGCCATCCAGGCAGCCCTCACGGAAACGGAGATGACTGAATGAAGCCTGACGGGAAGTGATGCCACAGAGTACGCCACGTGGACAGCTGGGAGAAGAGCCTTCCAGGCAGAGGCAGCTAAAGCACACAGACTGTCTCTGATCTAGTCAAAGAGTAGCAAGGAGACCAGTGTGGCTGGAACCGAGTGAGAAAGAACAGCTGGAAATGAGATCACACAAGTACAGGGGAGGGGAAATCAGGTAGGTGATCCTAAAGACTTGGGATTTTCCTCTGTATGAACTGGAAAGGCTTTGGAGATTTGGGAGCAGAAAAGTGACATGATCTGGCACATGTTGCAAGAAAAGAGCTCTGACTGCAATTTTGAGACGGGACTATGGAGGGCAAAGGACAAAAGCAGGGAGACCAACTAGGAGGGTCCTTGCAATACTCCATGTGGGAGATGATGGTGGCCGCCATGGAGGTGATGAAAGCACTTATATTCTGGATTTATTTTGAAGACAGAGTAGAGAGGATTTCCTGACACATTACATCTGAGGTATGAGGGAATGGGAGAAATCAAAGAGGACTCCAAGGTTTTGGGCCTGACCAACTTGAAGGACAGAGATGGGGAAAACCACAGATAGAGTAGGCTTGGGCAAGATGAAGGTTCCATTTGGAGCTTGTTGAACTGAAGACATCTACCAGACATCCAAATGGAAATGCTGAGGAGGCAGCTGGATACAGAGGTCTGAAGTTTAGAGAAGGCAGTCAAGGCCTGAGCCATCATTTTGGAGTCATCACTATACAACTAGAGAGATTGCATGAAATCATGAAAGAATATAGAGAGAGGAGAGCCCCCAGGGAGTAAGGCTTAAAGCATTCTATGGCTGAAATCTCTGGGAGGAGAAGAGAGACCAGCAAAGGAGACAGACAGGAGCAGCCAGGGAAGAAGGAGGAAAATCAAGAGTGGTGTCTTGGAAGTCAGTAAGGAAATACGACAAAGAACACAGGGCAACAACTGTCACAGTGCCACCGACAGGTGAAGTAAGATCAACACTGACAACGGACTATTGGATTTACGGAAAGTGATGTCATTGGTGACCATGACAGGAGGAGTTTGGAACAGTATTGAAAACAAAAGATTGATAGGAATGGGTTTAAGAGAGAATGTGAAGAGATGAATTGATGGTAGGGGATACAAACAACTCTTTTTAAAAGTTTTTCCTTTAAAAGGAAGCAAAAAAATGGTTAAATCTCACAAACATAATGTAAAGCAAAAGAATCTATGAGTGAATGCCTCCTATATTCATATGAAAATTTTTTTAAAAAGTAAAACCAAACTTGTGAACAGGAAGGAACGAATAAAAGGATTCTGGGTGTTGGCATACTCTCTTACCTGTGTAGTGAATAAACGGGTATTTGCCTTACAATTATCTGTTATAACGACTTGCTATATTATTTGTCAACTAGTACATTTATTTTACATACCTCTTCTCCCTATATATGTCATAGTTCAAAGTGTTAAAAAAAAAAAAAGATTATTAAGATCATGTGTGTGAAAAGACAACAGATAATATCACCACTGAGTCACAAAAGTTTTAAAAAGTATTTGAGAAGGATTATTCCAAATTATAAGCAGACCAAATTTGAATTGAAACTCCAAAGGTTCTGTGTACTAGGTCTGGCCAGTAGGGGAACGTTCGTGCCTTTCTGATTTAATTAAAAGTGGAATTTGTAAATCACATAAAATCTTAAGAATTAGAGTAGATTGTAAGCTCTTTTCTTCATTTTTAACTCCACAGGACATATTTTTTACTATGTGTGCTTGGCTCTCAGTATGAAAAATGTAGTACAGTGTCTGCCAAGACAATTCCTTTTTTTTTCCTGGATATTTTTACGTTTTATTTCCAAGACCCCCCTGAGATAATGCTCTTCACAAACACAAACCATTTGGTTACATAACAGTGATCTAAGTCTGAAGACATGACTGTTTCTTCCTGGGGAATTCATTATGAAAGCTCTGCCAACCCTGATGACGCTCCCAAGCCATGAATGAGTTGGCTGCGGACCGAGGGCTGTCAGATCCATCCACTGTTTTCAGTTGTTTTCCAGCAAGCGCCTAAGTTCCACTACTCTCTGTTCATTCAACAATCAATTTATTTAACTCTGGGAATCTCTTTCAAAGGGGATGATCATCTACTTCACAGAGAATAGGAGGGAAGACAAATGCCAGCCCAAAGCAAAAGGCAATGAAAATAAGTTTAAAAATGGTCATAAAAAAGTACTTCAAATCCATTCCACTCTCCCAAACTGCATACGCAGCACATGCTGGGTGGGAGCACATTATCTTATTTCAGATTAAAGTCACCAAAATGAGCCAGAGATGCTTCTAAACCTCTCCGAACTACTGATGACTAAGTCTCAAATAATTTTGAATTCCTAGTAACAACAAAATCTATTCGAACATTCTTTGTCTGCTTAAACAAGCCAACTGTTGTTTGTTGCTTGTTTTTTTACCACAAGGAAATAAAACGTTCACTGTCACTTCATTGTACATACTTCTTGTACAACTTTTTGGGTGTGTGTCAATTCCTAATTTCTGGTTTATCTGTTTAGTTAACCTCTGCTATTTTCTGGGCTTTGTTCCAAGAACAACTAAAATGCATTGCTAAAATTGGCATCTCTGCCATGGGGCTGAATTTCAGAGAGGCTATGAAGTGGTCTGAAACCATTTTTTTAATATTCTGCACACAAATTTATGCTAAAAAGTAACAGACACTGTTTAAAAGCAGTAATTGATAGGAAAGGTGCAATTTTTGTTTTCCTCCAAAACAATTTTTATTTTCTCCAAATGTACAGTACTCAAAGAGAATAAGTTCTATGCAAAAGCCACACGTTTTTGTTGCAGTGTTGCAAATACCGGCTTAAAGTTGAACACCGCTCTTTACAGTAGAGTAAGAGAGGATCTAAATATTTACATATAGACTATATATTTCTGAACTCTTTTATGAGTTTTTTTCTCTTTAATTTTTTATTGGAAAACCCTAAAAGCATAAGTCATAAATGTATATAAACCAAGTGCCAAGATCTATATAGATTTCTTAAATTTCATGAAATAACGAATCTAGCAATGTTTGTAACATGTTAAAGAGTTAAAGAATTACAAGTTTTTAAGTTGAGAAGCATCCTGGATATGTTTAAAGGCCCTCAGAATCTTAATCCAACCCTCTAATCCGACAGATGAGGAAAATGAGGCCCAGAGAGGTTAAACGAACACAGCCGTCAAGGATAATAAATGGCAACTCATACCCAAATCCAGATGTTCGACTCCCAGGCTAGGGCTCTCAAAGAGTCTGTTTCAATATATTGAATACTTATGGAAATAAATTAACAGAGGACCCTTCAGGCAAGCCCTCAATACAAGGAACTCCGTCTCATCTGCCATCTGCAAACACACATCCTAGACACAGCACCCGCAAGAACCAGTTTTTCAGACGGCCTCACCATACCTGGGGCTTCCAAAGGGATTCCTCGGTTGGGTCTCTTTTTCTCGCCTCTACAAACCCCTTTAAATGAGTGCTCTGGTTAAGACTGCGGTTTGTTGTTCCGTTTTCTAAACTTGCTCGTGGCCAGCAGGAGAGAGTGGAAAACAGAAGCTGAGGTCTAAACCACCCCCTACAGCGCGAGTTTTTTCTTTTGTCATCCAAATCAACAAATCCGGCCTCCGGCCCCAGGGCTTACTGGTTTCTGTCGCAGCTCGTGCAGTTTCCAAAGTAGGAAGGAGACCTGGAAAAGAAGTTGCCCGGGTGGCACGTACTTTCGGTGGCTACCAACAGGTGCGCCCCCAGGCTCGGCGGGCTGCCCTCAGCCGCGCGCCCCGATCCTCCTCGCCCCGGGGCCTCCCGATCCCCTGCCCGGGGGAGCCGAGAGCCCCCCAGCACCCCTCCCGCCGCCCGCCGGGCGCTGCCCCTCCGCTGGCGCCGCCGGGCCGGCCCCGGACTCCCGGTCTCCAAGTGGCCCGCAGGCTCCGCGCCCGCCCCGTGCGCCCTGGGCTGGCGGGAGCAGGACGCGGCGGCGGCAGCGGGCGGAGGAGAGAGAAGCGGGTCCGGCTGAATGCCGGGGCCCCCCGCGCGGAAGGCAGCGACGGCAGCGGCCCCGGCTCGGGCACCTGCTCGCTCGCGCTCGGCCGGCTGCGGGCTCTGCGGGGCGGCGGCTCCGAAGTCCTCACCGTGGTGCCGGGCGCCTCTCCGGGGACGGGAGGGCGGCGGCGTGCGGGAGGAGGGCGCGGGGCGCGGGGGGAGGAGGGGAGAAGGGAGGGCTGAGCCGGGGCCGCCCGCGCCCTCCGTCGCCGCCCCGGGGCGGGAGCAGCGGCCCCCGAGCGGCGGGGCGGCCGCGCAGGTGACCGGGGCGGCGGCGGGCAGTGCGCCGCGCGCGGCCGCGGGCCCGGGGAGGAGAAGCGGGGCGCCGGGGAGGGACCCCCGCTCCCCCCGAGGCCGAGAGCCGAGGCGGACCCAGTAGGCAGGCGGCGCCGCTCCCTGACCTGCAGCCGGCTCCCGCGCGCCCCTCCTGAGCCCGCGGGTCCCAGGCTCCGGGCTGGGCGGTGGGCTTCCCTCTGTTCCTCCCGCTTCCAGACCTCCAGGCCTCTGCTGCATCAGGGGTGTGCAAAATGCTACAATAAAGATTGCTATAATTGGGAGGCGTGGGAAAGAAGAGCGAAATGGAAAAGACCAGAAGTAGTGAGGTAGTGAGTTTCCTGTCACCAAGGATGTTTCAACCCAGCATTTTGGTCTTGCTTCTCAGAAAGGCTGAAGAGGGCCCTCATGCATCTAGCGGGCGTTGGACTAAATGACCATTTCTCTTGCAGTCTTGAAATTCAATGGCGTTTGACGTATCAAGTAAAAAAAAAAATTTTTAATTAAAAAAATCCGTCCTTGAACCGTCTGAATCCAAACCCGAAGTAATAGACATTTTGTTGCTCTCCACTCAAGATGTTCACTGGTTGATTTGTTTCTTTATGAACACATTTTTATCGAGGTCCTACTCTGCCGGACAACATGCTAGGTGCAGTCACGATGTGCCTCGAGCTTGAAATTAAGAAAGAGAGACAGGCAGGTATTCAGATAATTACCAATTGTGAGCGGTGATTTGAAGCAAACCAAGAGGGTGAGGAAGAAAGGATAAAGGGGAGTAGACCTCGTCTAGACTGAGTGGGTGGTTAGTTTTCAAAGGTCTCTAATGTGAACTTGCCTAACACCCTCATAGGAAGCAGCATCAGGGGCACAGACAGAAAGCAGCCCAGAGATGGGGAGGGGCGGAAGCCGTGTCTCCTGGCTCCCTGGACCAGCCACTTTGCCTGCTTGTGGAGCTTTGTGGCACTTTCCCCCATAGGAATATCCTCCCAGGACCAGTGTTACTTTTCTGAAGTGCCTTGAGGTCTCCAGACCATTTGCTGAGGCCACGTTATTCAGAAATTTCATATTTGTGCACTGAATGAATGGACTTTCTGGGACATCTGTGGCAGGAAACAATAACCCAGAAGCACTAACCTTTGGGTTTTCATCAACCCTCAGAAAGTAGACAAATGTCTCCATTGGATGGAGACGAAAATTTTAGCAGAGACACTGACGTCCCCAAATTATTATGAAATGAAACAACGCAACAGAATCCTTAATTAGATAATCAGTATGAACTTGCTATTAGTTTCCCAGGACTGCCTTGAAAAATGACCACAGACTTAATGCTTGAAACAACAGAAATTCATTCTCCCCCTGTTCTGGAGGCCAGAAGTCCAAAGTCAAGGTGCCATCAGATCCACATTCTCTCCCAGAGCTCTAGGAGAGAATCCTTCCCTGCCTCATCCAGCCTCAGATGGCTTCAGGAATTCATTGCCTTGTGGCTGCATCACTGCCATCTCTGCCTCCATCTTCTCATGGTCTTCTCCTTTGTGTCTGTCTTCTTCTCTTCTGTCTACCGTACGAACAATTGTCATTGGATTTAGGGACCATCCAGATAATCCAAGATGATCTCAGCTTAGGATCCTGACTTAATTACATCTGCAAAGACCCTTTTTCCAAATACGGTCACATTCACATGTTCTGGAATTTAGGATGTGGACATATATTCAACCCACTAAAGCTAGTAAACTAATAGGGACCAAAATCATTGTCTACTGTGCTATCAGGATGGCATTCCAGCACCATCATTCAAAATTGTATTGATACTAACTGTAATTAATTATTTCATTGTGAACTACTAAAAATAAGTGTCATTAAATCCAGGCATTATGAGAAATAACTGACATAAGGAAAAGAGGTACAGAGGCCCAGCCTTCAATTCATGTTTGAGTCACAAGCAATACTTGAAGGCCAAGTGTGGCTCCTCAGAAGCTACCATTGTTAAATTAAGACAGAATTACAGCCAGAGTCATGTGCATGGATTGCTGAGAAGGTGCTCCAATAGTGAATGTCTGCCAGGCGCCAGGCTCTGAGTCAGGCGCTCCTAGGGAGCTTACATGCTGAGTTAGGGGACACCTTTGAGTCTCATCCTGTCTGGCACAGATATGCCTGATGCATACCTGAAGCCTGATAAAGAGTTGTTGAATGAATAGGTGAGTAAAATAAATCACTACCCATCAGAAAGGCAATTATTAGCACACTGGAAAACATCTATAAGAAGATAGGATTTATTAGAGCAAAACAGATTAACAACTGATTCATTCAGTATTTTCTTGAGTGAGAGAAAAATCCTTAAAAGGAAGCTTTTGATTTAAAAAAGAAAATAATGAGATCACCTATCCTCTCTTTTTTAAAAAAAATCAATAATATGCCTATTTGCACAGATACAGATCCTGCTGGGGACAATCACTCCTGACTGAAGCTATAGTTACAAAAAGTGAATAAAACATTTTCTCCAAGTATTTTGGTAGATAGTTTCAAAAACGTAAACATTATTCAACTGTTAATTTCATAATATTGACACAACATTTCTTGAAACTCTTTGCAAACAAGGATTTCAATGACTCCACTCTCTCCTGGTCCACCTCTTCCTTCTTTGACTTTCTTTCTCACTCTTCCACTCTTACAATCTTAACTAATCAACCAATATGTTAATAACTACCAAACTGAGTCTCATTCATTGACTTACTCGGGTCACGGGCCCATCCCTGAACCAGTCATGGTGGCCAATAAGTTGGAATATAAACACCATCCAGGAAGCAGATGGAAAACAGGGAGCGGGAGGAGAATTGACCTCACCCTGATCAAATAACAGAGTAGGGGGAAAGTGGTGCCCCAAAATAAGATGAGGGTGCTTTTACTGAGGGGTAAGTGGGCGCAAAAGCACAGATAGCCGCTACAATAGACACTCAAAAAGGTTTGTTGTTAACTCATTATAGTTTTAATTAAAACAGCACTTCACCCTTTCTATGGTGTTCTAAATGTTTTCTAGAAAGTTTTTTCCAATGAAATGATAATTATAACTATTGATTATATGTCTAATTACCACACAAATCTTAAAAATTTACTATTATAAAGGACTTTGAAAAATGCCTTTATATGCGTCTGAGGGTGTATAGTCAAGCGGTGGGCTCTGGGATCTGATTGCATGAGCTTTTATACATTTATTATGAGAACTTGAATAAGTTCCTTACCCTCCTTCTGTCTCAGTTTCCTTTTTTGTAAAATGGAAATGATAATCACCTCTGAAATGTCATGAAAAGTAAGGAGAGATTAACTATGCCTTTAGAATAGTACTTGTTACTTAGTACTCTATTATGTTTGCTTATTATCAATCTCATTTTTCTTCATAGCATCCCTGGAAGCCATTTTGGGTAGTTGTACTTTAATTATTTATTTTTCCATTAATAGATAATCAGTATCTATTATGTATCAGGTACAATCACCAAGATAAACAGCACTAGGGACCAGCCCAGTGGCATAGTGGTGAAGTTCGTGTGCTCTGCTTCAGCAGCCTGGGGTTGGTGAGTTTGGATCCCAGGTGTGGACCTACACACTGCTCATCAAGGCATCCTGTGGCAGCATCCAACATACAAAATAGAGGAAGATTAGCACAAATATTAACTCAGGGACAGTCTTCCTCACCAAAAAAGCAAACAAACAAACAAAAAACCAGCATGGGTCCACGAGGAGTCGAGTGAGGATTCCCATAGTTGAACCAGGTTGGTATAGGCACTCCATGCAGGGCAGCAGAGCGTGGAAGGAAAAGACAGAGGAGAAAAGGCCTGGGTCCTTAGGGGACTGCAGGAAGTATAGCTGGAGGCCAAGGTATGTTCAGAAAAGTGTACTTGGGAAAGGACGTAGAAGTCTAATAGGAAGAACTCTGAAGGTCCTGTGGGTTTCGAAAGTCATTTGGACTTTGACCTCTATGAGTCCTGACATGTTGGAAACATTTAGACTCAGCAATTATGTTTTCAGATTTGTAGGAAGGAAAGTACATCCTGAGTGTGTGCAGTATGGCAGAAAAGGAAAAAAAGAAGCCTAGAGCCAGGGATAGCCGTTAAGAAACTAGGCAATCCCAGTAGACCAGCGCTTCTCAAACTTCGATGTGCAACTGAATCAAACTAGAGATTTTTAAATCACAGATTCTGATCAGGAGTGCTGGGGTGGTGCCCTGGGGTCTGCATATTTAACAAGCTCCCAGGTGATGTCAGCGCTGCTGGTCCCCAGCAAAGCAATAGACTATTTACATACCTTGAATGCTGTCTCCAATAAAAATAAATTTATATTTAATGTACATCAAACTCTTAAGTCCTGATGGAGAAATAATTTGCAGCTTGCAAAGTTGCAATTGCTAATTGAAGAACTATTGGGTACAACAAGCCAACAAGATAGAAATATTTTATCTTGATTCTTAAGATCTCTCTGAGAATAAATCCCTTCCAAGCCTGAACATCCAAATGAAAATTACTGGGCTATGTGTAAGGAGGCAGCTGTGGTTGGTGAAAGAGCTATGATATGGGATCCTGTGATGGTCTTTTTCATGTGTCAGCTTGACTAGGGTGCGGTCCCCAGTTAGGCAATCCAAACGCTGGTCTAGGCGCTGCTCTGAAGATATTTTGTAGATGTGATTAACGTCCATGTGCAGTTGACTTCAAGTAAGACAGATTATCCTAAGTAATCAGAGTGAGCCTGATCCAGTCAGTTGAAAGGCCATAAAAACAGAGCCGAGGCTTCCCGAAAGAAGAAGAAATTGCACCTGTGGACAGACCCTTCAGCCCACGACTCGGAGTCCCAGCTTGCCTTTCCTGACCTTCTGCTCTACGGCTTTTGGACTTCCCTAGCCAGTCCCTCCAATCACTTAAGCCTTGTAATAAATATCTGACTACATATCTCCTACTGGTTCTGCTTCTCTGGCTGAACCCCAATAAATTTTGATAACTGGAAACAAGGTGCTACTGTAAAAAAAAAAAGACCTAAAAATGTGAAAATTTGGCAGTGGGCAGAAACTGGAAGAATTTTAAGGAGCATGATGGGAAAAGCCTTTCTTGTCTTAAACAGACTGTTAGTAGAAATGTGAGTGTTAACCTCTCTGCTAGTGAGGACTCAGAAGGAAGTGAGGAGAATGGTGGAGAAAGCATATCACCTCAGAGAACACCTGGAACACCAGGGACAGACTGTTGTAGAAATATGGATGTTACAGGGGCTGCGGGGGAGGACTCAGAAGGAAGGGAGGGACTTGTTCTTGGAAATTTGAAGAAGGGGGACCCTTGTTAAGTAGTGGCAGAAAGCTAAGCAGAACTGTGTCCTGTAGACAACAGAACTTGTGTACTATGAAACTGATCCACAAGGAAACTTGTGCTTGTGTACCAATCAACTTGTGTCCATACAGCTGAGGAGATTCCAAGCAAAGTGTTG